CCCTCATGCAGATAATACATTTGCATACCTATTCTCCTGCTACTGTGTCAACTGTCAGTTCATTTTCATAGACTCAACTTAAATCAATCTTCCAGAAGGTGAAGGGAAATTTCCCTCTCCTCCTACAATATATCATGCAAACGATGTTGGAGAGTTTTATAGGATATTTCACTCAGGTTAATTAAACTGAGCCTTCAGTAGCTGGAGGGAAAGTTCCCTTTGCTCCTGCGATAGAATCATACAAAGGAGTTAGAAAGTTTTGTGGGATATTTCATGCAGGTTAGGGAAGGGACTAGAGAATTATTCTGGACCCAGATTTCTGGTGACCAAGACACAGCCCTCAAATACTACTGAATAAACATTGAAGTTGGGTGTGGTGGTGCATGCCTGTAATCCCAGCACTCGGGAGGCTGAGACAGGAGGACTGTTTGATTCCTGCCTGTGAAACTTGGCAAGCTATGTCTCAAAATTTAAAAGGGCTGGGATGCAGCTCAGTGGTAGTGTGCCCCTGGGTTCCATCCCTAGGACCAAAAAACCTGCCAAATTCTGATGAAAAGAATGCTTTTTCTGGTCTGTGGGTGGATTTATTACTTTAATCACACTTCTCTTGTACTGATTTTTTTTCCAGTACTGGGGATCGAACTCAGGACCTCGTGCTTTCCAGGCACAGGGCCACTGAGCTACATTGTCAGCCTTTGATTATATTTTGGATTAGTGTCTGTGATGGGATTTGATAGGCATCCTAGTTCCATTAGCAACACATGTGCAAGCCTCTCTTAAAATGAACACTTCTTTCACAGCACTGTGGGGCTGAGGCAGGAGAACAGTGACTTTGAGGCCAGCCTGGGCTATATCTTTCTCACACACACACAAAAAGGATAATTTCTATAGTTACATACATATGTATTGATTAGTTTAATTATCTACTTAAATTATATATTTTAATAAATCATATATTCAAGTCATCAAAATGTAAAAGGCATTGTCTTTTTTTTTCTTTTTGAAAGTTAATTTTTTTAAAAAAAAAAAACCTATCTTTTTACATTTTTACATTCACCTCTCAGAACATTTAGTGGTACCAACTAATGACGTTATATAAAAAGTCCACCCACTGTTTGAAATGGCTGCAGATTTATCATGTTCTGGTATTAAAATGTTTTGATCTCTGAAAAAAATTGGTGTAATACTTAGTACCAAGATTTCTAATTCTCAGATGAGAAACAAAACTTTTTAATAAGGAGGAAATTATTTAGTAAAAATTCAAGACTGAAAGGAAATGTTTAAAAAAATTGTAAAAATAGACACACACACCCCCCCCAAGAGTTAGGTTATAAAATGCAATCAACTCCACCCCACTCCCTATTTCTCTTAGAAAAGCCACTCAGTCCTGAGCACAGGGTCTCATATACAAATATGTGCATCTTGATTTGCAGATCAGCCTCTGGGATCATACACTTGTCCTAGTTAAAAGTTTAAAGTAAAAACTAGGTTAGGTAGTTAGACATCCTTAAATACTGACATCCAAAAGAACAGAAACACTTTGCCTTTGGTGTGGCTACAGAAATCTACCTGGAAATTGTACAACAGGACACTAGCTTGGGGAGAAAGGGACACAGAGGGGAGGACACACGAACATCCCCATGTGGAGGTAAAATAAATATTGGGACACATCCCGAGCAAACCCTGGATAGAACACTTGAGGAAGATGTCTCTGACAAATCACACACACAGGTTCTTGGTCAGAACTGTCTGGAACAGCCTTTTTCAAAGGGTCATTTGCAGGACACAGCTGAACCCATGTGCTGGGGTCTACTGTAAGAATAAAGACCTTGAAAAGTAAGAATGCCAGCCAGGCTGAAAACCAGCCCCTAACAGGCACTGTCTTGTCCCCAGCCCCTATCACCTAGGCCTCCTCCCTCACACCAGGATAGCAGATCTCACCACGGAGAAACACATACACATACACATACACATACACATACACTTTTCAGCTGGGCATGGTGGTGCATGCCTGCAATCCCAGCAATCGGGAGGCTGAGGTAGGAGGATCACTGAGTTTGGGGTCTGCCTGGGCTACATAGTGAAACCTTGTCTCAAAAATATAAAACAGGGGCCAGGGATTTAGCTCAGTGGTTCTGGCGCCTGCCTTGCAAGCGCAAGGTCCCAAGTTCGATCCCCAGTACCAAAAATAATTAATTAATTAATTAATTAATTAAAATAAAAACCAATCTTCTATTAGACATTGCTTCCAAACTGTTGCCATTATAAACAATGTTCCATGTAACTAAGTAAAGATATTTTTAAAATAAATTCCTAGCAGTATAATTGGTTGGTCAAACGTATGTGCATTTTAACATTTTAATACTGATATACTGCCAAGTTGTCTCCCATGGAGATTATATGAGAGCTTCGTTGAGTACAATTAAGCTTATTAGGCATAACATTAGTCCTAAACACTGAATTGTGCCTATGTGGTTATTTAAAAGAATGCACCAGCCTGCCTCACAAGCACAAGGTCCCAAGTTCGATCCCCAGTACCTAAAAAAGAATGCATCAGGGAAGTACTAATCTAAATTCTCTTTATACTGAGTGAGGTTGAACATGGTTTCATGCTTTTTTTTTAATGAGGGGATCATGCTATGTTGTCCAGGCTAATCTTGAACTCCTGGCTTCAAGTGATCCTCCTGCCTCAGCTTCGCAAGTACCTGGGACTACAGTTGTGTGCCACTGTACCCAGCTTTTACTTTTCTGTATCTTGTTTTTTTGTAGCGTTGCTCATTTTTCTACTGAATTTATTTGCATAAACACTTTATATATTAGGAAAATTAGCTCTTTTCCGGTGATATGAGTTGGAAATATTTTATACCAAGTTATCATACATCTTTCAATTCACATTACAATGGTTTTTGCCTTGAGAATACCCTGCAAACAAAATGCCTAAGTTTGAGTCCAGGTTTGTAGGACCCTGCAGAAGTTATTAACCAGTCACTTAACTCTCAATGAGGTGGTGGTGTTAGTAGTACACCCCTCACTGTGTTGTTGTAATTAAAAGAGTGAATATATAGAAAGGGGTCAGAAAATACCTGGCACAAGGCAAAGTCTAGAAAAGTAATTTTTTATGACAAATTTAATGTTAATTCATCCAAGATCCTACTTCAAAGAAAAAGTTATTTGCCTTGGCTTCAAATCCTAGAGATAAAATGAAAAAAGGATTTAATATTTTAATATTTTTACTTGTGGATAACAAACACCACCTAGAGGCCCGGGGATTTAGCTCAGTGGTGCCACCACCTGCCTTGCAAGCCCAAGGTCCCAAGTTCCATCCCCAGTACCAAGAAGAACAAAAAAAGACAAACACCACCTAGGTACTAAGTACCTATGAAGGTTGCTTAATCAGCGGTAGTGGCAGGAACAAGCACTAGATCTTTTTCATTATAGCGTTTATTCCTCACAACAAGCTGGCCTACAGTAGTAGGATTCCTACCTCATTCTACCAGGGAGGAAACAGGCTGAGATGCCACTTTATTTGCTCAAGGCCAAGCTTCCTTTGTGCCTTGATTTGCAAATGTTCTTTATCTTTCTGTGTCTTTTCAGGTCTCCAAAGCATATCCAGTGCCCACCCCGCTGTTCCCTCCCCACTGTTCCCTCAGTGGGGATTCAATGGAGCCCAATGGAGCCCTGACTGACTGCATTCATTCACTCTGCAAGCCGCAAGCCAACTCCGCCTCCCCACTTTCTCCAGTGATCCCAGCTCTTTGGAATGGAATCCTGTTTGCCTCCTCCTAGAGTTCAGGTCTTGCAGATACCCCTCTGAAATGTGTCTTCCATCTCAGCTCCCCTAGTCCCAGCTGCCAATCCCTGGCTTGGCCCTGACTACCTTTCAGAAGGATTGCTCCTCCTACCCCACCCCCAACCTGTGTGACACCCCCAAGCACAGCTCTAGTTCTGCGGCTCCCCAGTTGCCTGATCTCAGAGCCCCCCACTGCCTATTCTTTCCCTGCCTCTGAGGCTCTGCATTATCAACCTCAGCCACCTTTGCTTCCAAGACTTCCCTCCCAATTAGTCCCATCTACTCCTTGAACAGGCATCCTACCATCTTGCTCATCCAGCGTAGAATCCAATACACCTCCCCTTCAAGGCCACATCTGAAGCTGTCCTACTCTGACTGTACTCACTTCTCTCATTTCCCTCCTCAGCTAGTCCTATTCCATACCCAGCACATATTTGTAAATAATTATTGATTCCAATGCTTTCAAACAGGGACAATCAATAAACCCAACGACCCTGTTTCTGATGGGTCCAACCACTCTTAGGGGGCTGGGTTAACAGGGCACAAGACAATGTTAGTCCTGCTGGTGTCCCACAGCAAGTCTGGCCTGTTTCACCCAGCTCCCCTCACAAAACTGTCACTTCTGACCAAGTGCCCATCACAGGCTCCCATTTTCCTTGTGGAGAAAATGGCTGCTGGCTGATACCTGGAACAGGCATACATAGATCATTCTAGAAATGCTGGTTGTATAAACAAAGTTTGAGCTGGCAAGGGCACATGAATATGTCAACTACCTTGTGACAAAAAAATCATACACAGAGAAGGGAAGAATCTCGCTCGACGTCACACAGCAAGTAGGAAATAAGTAGATCTAACACCAAGGCCACCTGAGTCCCAGTTCAGGGCAGGGTCTTGTGCCCCCTGGAGCCACGTAGATCTAGTGTCAGCCACTTGAGTTCACTGACCAAAATGTCACTAGATGTCCTTCTCTCTCCCTCATGTCGGGGCTTCCTTTGCTCTTTCTACAACACAATCCTTACTTCTCCAAATTTCAGCGTTAGTTTGGGGGTGAGAGAGCACCCGCAAAGGAGAAGGCTCCTACAGCTCTCAACCTCCGGCCCCTCCCCTAAGCGCCCGGCCTTAAGAGCTCGCCTATTGACGTTGACAGACTGAAGTCTTACCCAATAAGCAGGCAGGGTGGGTCGCCGTAGCCCTATCGGCTGAGAAAATACAACAACAGGCGCACCCAATTGGCTGACACCGCAACTCGAGCTTTCCGGGTCTTTCCATACCTCGAGCGTTTTTCTCCAGAGGTGGGCCAGAGAGGGAGCCAGAAAGGATCCTGTATTTGAGTAAGTTAGTTGCAGCCTTGAGTGTCCTTTGGCGTCGGTGGAGGGGCTGCTGCTCTCTCCTTACGGAGGTCGGGATGGGGCTAGGGGAGGTCGGGATGGGGCTAGGGGCGTCCGGGGAAAAGGGCAGGGAGGAGCGCTCACGTGGAATACCGACCTGAGTGGGGCGTGGGTGGCGGTCTGGGCCCACGAGCCCCGGAGCGCGGAGCCTGGCCTATCCTGTGGGGTTGGCTCTTCTGCCGCCCATACGGGGCGGAGGGGACCCTAATGTCGCCGAATGTCGCCGCTGATGTCAGACACTTAGGTGTGACCCACTTAAGTGTGTTTTGATGCTGAAGGCCCACCCACCACTTGGCTGTGGCTGTACTGCAGGCCTGTACGCGGTATTTCGCGTTGAAGTTCAGATTGTGATCGAACCCCAGCCTTTTATCAGAGACTGAAAGGGTCACGATGAGGCTGTCACCTGCCCAAGGTGGTGTCTGGGCTCCTACGCAGCGAACTAGCAAGCCTCGGTGTAGACCATCCTGCCGAGTTCACATCCGCTCCGAGTTGTGCGTTAGTGAGAGAGCCAGCCTTTCTACTCTAGTTCTTCAGAGTCCCGGGGGCCTCCAGGTCTCCCCCAGGGGTCTGCAGAAACCGTGACACATTCTCCCTCTTGGAGATCTGCAGACATAGTCTTGTGAATGGACGGGCACAGCAAAAAGGAAAAAAAAACAAAACAACAAAAAACGATGGGGCAACTTCCGGGAGAAAACAAAATCCCACAGCCCCCAAATCTGATTTTAAATACCTGGAAATTAGCTGAGATTGTGCCCTGTGGGTTTACAGGTCCAGATCTGACCAACGGGGTGGAATCCCAGTTCCACCACTGTGACTTTCTGAGTATGTTAGCCCTCTAAGCCTCAGTTTCCTCCTTGTAAAATAGAATTAAAAATACCAGCTCAGGGTGGGAAATAATACACACTCCGCCGCCTGAAGTATTTATTGAACAAGTATTAACAGAAAACTTTTAAGGGTTTTTTGTTTTGGGGGGGGGTTCTGTGTGTGTGGTTTTCGGTCCCCCTCCTCCCCGCCACTAAATGGAACTCCATACTGACCTGTCTGCATTTTTCTGTTTCTCGATACTTTAACCACTCTGAACTTGCTTTTGGGGGTGGAAACCTTACTGTTCATTCGGCTTTACAAACCAGTGGTTTCCGCATTACAGTGCAATAGGCACCACGATCTTACTGAATTTCCCTGTTGTTGGATGTTTAGGATGTTTACCTCTTTATTATAATATGCTGTAGTAAACATCTTCTTGTTTTGGAATATAATTCACATACCATAAAGTTTATATATTTTTTTCTAGTACTGGGAATTGAACCCAGGGCTATAGGGTAACTACTTTTTTTTTTTTTTTTTGGTATCAGGGATCAAACTCGGGACCTTGTGCTTGCAAGGCAGGAGGTGGAATCCCTGAGCTAAATCCCCAGCCCTTGTAATGTAATTACATCTCTGACCACCACCACCTTTTTTTTTTTGACGTAGAACTTCTAAATTGCAGACTGGGCTCAAACTTGGCCCACCTCCTCCTGCTCAGCCTGTGCTGGCATTAAAGGCCTGTGCCACTACACCTGTTTTAAAGTCACTATTTTAATTCACTATGTAGTTGGTCTTGAACTCACTATGTGGCTCAGTCTGGACTCAAACTCACAGCAGTCTTCCTGCCTTAGCATCCCAAGTGCTGGGATCACAGTTGTGCACCACTGCACCTGGCTGTGTGGACTTTTTAGCTTGTTTCCAGGATTGTGCAAGTAGTAGTAGCATCACTACTATCTAATTCCAGAAGTTTTATCACTGCCTAAAAAAAGCATGTGGTCCAGGGTTCCAGAGCTGAGTTATTTATTGGGCTTTAGCCCAGGGCTTCCAGCCATGGAAACTGCCAACAGCCCCAAGGCTTCCCAACTCGGAGGGTTTGCCCAACTGGGAAGCCTGCTGCTGCAAGCAGGGGCTACCCTTGTGTGGGCAAAGGGAGTGAACGGGTGCATGTAGGCTGCCCACCGCTTAGCCGCCCTCATAGGCTTGCTCTGGGCTGCAGACTGCAGAAGGGGATGTTAGAACAGGTCTTGGAGAAGGGGAAAGGAGGTGGAGGCGGTGGGGCAGGAAGCCCATATCAAGGCAGGAAGCCTTTGCGGTGCACTTGGGAAAACTGGAGAACTGCCTTGCTGAGGGCAAATCACCACCTCCGCCAGTAATCCCGCCACTTTGAGAGAATGGCACAGGAGGATTGCAAATTCAAGTCATCCTGAGCAATTTAGGGAAACTTTATCTAAAAGTAAAGGTGCTGGAGATGTAGCTCAGTATAAAGGCCCTGAATTCTAGCCCAAGTAATGCCAAAAAGGGGAGGAGGTTGCTAGGCATGGTGGTGTGCACCTTGCATACCTGTAATCTCAGCACTGCGAATTCAAGCCCAGTCTGGGCAGTTTAGCAATTTAGTGACATCTTTCTCAAAATAAAAAATAAAAAAGGAATGAAAGATGTAGCTCAGTGCTCAGGCATTGGGTTCAACCCCCAGTATCTGGAAAAATAAAAAGTAGGCTTCCATGGAGGTCCAGGTTTAAAGCAAGGGCTGCGTAACTGCTCAGGAGTTTGCCTGACTTGTGGATAAACAGAGGCTGAAAGACTGGAAGCCAAAGTTGTTGAACCTCGGAAAGCCATTGGAAGCATTATAAAGACGAAAGGGATGACCTGCCAGCAAGGGATGGAGAAGCAGAGCAGGTACCTGATTGTAAGGGAAACATTGGCACAGTGGTGGTCTGTGCCTGTGGTCCCAGCCATTCTGGAGCTGAGGTGGGAGAATCGTGTTAGCCCAGGAGTTCAGGATCAATCTGGGCAACACAGCAAGATCCTGTCTCAAAAGAAAAATGACACATGAGGGAGCCCATCTAATGGACATGTTTCACAGTCAGAAACCAAATTACAGAGACCAGCAGTGGGTGTTACAACTCATATGGAAGAAATTATCCAGTTTTTTTTTGAGAGGGAGTGTTGTTTTGTTTTGTTTGTTTTTCTGAGACAGGGTCTACTGTGCAGTCCAGGCTGGCCTTGAACTCATGAGCCCAGGTTGGCCCAGGATGGCCCAGATCTTGTGATTTTCCTCCCTCAGCCTCCTGAGTGATGAGGTGCCATAGGTGTGTCCAACATGCCTGGCTTACAGCCACGGTTTTGCAAGCCAGAAAATGAAAGATGTGAAGACTGTGTTTTCAGAATATATCGTTATTGTGATATAGAGTATATACCATTGCTTACCAAAGTACACACTGCTGCCTGCCCAAATGTACAAAAGATGATGCGGGAGAAATTTGCAGAAGCACTCCCTCAGGTATTCATCTTGTTTAGATATTGTAAGAGTACATTCATATTTGCCTTTTCAGAAATAGCTGTCAGCCAACAGGACAGGTCCCGACCCACCTGTCACCTAAGAGAGGATCAACAAGCCAATGATGAAAGATGAAGAGTTGGATACGCAGAAGAAAGTTAATTTTAAATACACTGCCCCTTCCCTTTTTATCTTAAAATGACTCAATGAAGGATTACTAAATTGTAAAGTTTAGGTGCTGGCTTGCCGAGTTCAACCTTGAAATGAAATGCTGCCAAAATGGGAAAGGAAGGAAATTTATGCCGATAGAAAATAAGAGGTTTTTAAAAGAATATTACAGGAAAGGGGATTTAGCTCAGTGGTTCCGCCCCCTGCCTCGCAAGTGCAAGGTCCTGAGTTCGATCCCCGGTACCAAAAAAAAAAAAGAATATTACATATTTGGGGCTGGAGATTTAGCTCAGTGGTTTCACCACCCGCTGAGCAAGCGCAAGGACCCGAGTTCAATCCCCAGTACCAAACAAACAAACAAACAAACATATTTGATCATTTCAGCATTTTACATAATGAAGTATGGGCCTTTTTTGTTAGTTCCTCTTTTTTTTTTTTTTTTTTTTTGGTACCAGGGATCGAACTCGGGACCTTGCGCTTGTAAGGCAGGCACTGGAACCACTGAGCTAAGTCCCCGGCCCCTTTTTTTTTTTTTAAAAGATTGTGGATTTCAAGGGCAGGCATGGTGGCGCACGCCTGTAATCCCAGCACTCAGGAGGATGAGACAGGAGGATCACTGCAAGTTCAAAACCAGCCTGGGTTACATAGTGAGTTCAAGGCCAGTCTGAACTACATAGCAAGACCCTGAATCAAAAAGAGTGTGGATTTCAAAGTATTTAGTATTGATGTACTTTAGTCTAGGTGCTGGTGCTGTAATAAAGTAATTATAGGGCCGGGGATTTAGCTTAATGGCACTGAATCTGCCTCAAAAGTGCAAGGTGCTTAGTTCAATCCCCGGTACTGGAAAAAAAAAAGCAAGTATAAAAACCAAAAGATCTAACAACTATAGCTTAACTTCCTTTATGTTGATGCCAGAAAAAGATCATGTGTGAGTCTGATTAAATACAAATTCTTTTCCATAAAACCTTAATGAAGCCAGTTCCCTTTTTCTTTGATTGAAAGAGGACATTTCAGATATGATCTGTAAATTTCCCTTTCAACGAGAGCATAAACAGAATGAGAGAAATGTGACACCCAAACCTCTCTGGTTTACACGTGTGGATAAAGTGTACGGTTTGGCTTACGTGAAAGTTGTATTCAGCCTGATTCTGGTTTTAACCACTTACCAGTCCAAATATTTAAATACAGGATAACAAAAAAATCGCATTTTTTGGTTAATTTTTATAGGATAATATAACAGAAAATATAAAAACAACAGTTTTATCAAATTTATTCAATACAAGAATCAACTGATTGACATGACACCTGCATATGTAAGGTGTCAGTATATAAACAATGCACTGCCCAAGTGACCCTGGAGGTAAACTATTAAGTGGTTAGAACAAAACTTTTGTCATACTAAAGTGTTATATATGGTTCTACAGGTTTCTGTTTGTTTCTTTGTGGATTAAACCTAGGTACTTTGCTCTAAGCT